TAGGATGCATTATCCGAAGTCGTCAGTAGCGAGGCTGTACTTACCGCAGAAACATGGTATGCTTGGCTTTATAAGCGCCCTGTGAAGCGTCCGTATTTTCATTACACCTTACATTGCAGTCGTTTTGCAAGAACGTCATTATGGGTTATAAAGTGTTTACTTCTCTATCTTTTGCCAATGAGCAATGGCAAGACCCAGCGATACAGAGCTTCTTCAACCTGGAGGCAGTATGAAAAGATAAAAAGCTTCTACAGGGCTTCTACACGGGCCTCATGTAGACATAGTCACCTTCCTCCACTGGCTAGTTCGATGCCCTTTTTAGGGAAACCGAGGATGTGTCTTTGCGCTACAGGATCAAGTTATAGTCTTAATAACTTGATCCTTTCACCTGTACATTCTAAAGGATGGTACCGTCGTCATATATCGAGCTTGCTGCCATCCAGGTAAATCACATAGGCAATTCAGCGTTTACTAGTTCTGATTACTTTTACAGACACAACCTAGTAGCCAAAATCCTACAACAGGAGTTAGTTTGCTGTGATGTGCGGTATTGTGCATCAAAAACTGTCATTTTATAAGTACCGCGTCATGCTCTGTTGAGACCGGGCCATCAACACAGACAGGTCTATTATTGCGAATAAACATGATATTGTAATGATATTATATTATATATTTTATTTCATCTTATTTATCATTGTTACATAAATTTATGCCAACGAGATGCGAATATTATACAAATACACTATCATTTTAAGAATAATGTGTCCTCCAGACCTTGCGGTCACGGTGGCCAGTCACAATTTCATTGATTTTAAAACATAGAATTAAAAACACCTATCTTATTAATTTTTGGAATAATGCAATCATATATTAGTAACAGTACCTGGACAACCGAGCTTTACTCGACGTAGGAAAAAGCATATAATTTTAAGTATAAACATAAGTATATAATAGAAAATGATATAAAGTCTAGTATTATCTAGACTTTATCTAGGAGTATCCAGATTTGTAAAGAAAACATCGTTAGAGCCGTTTCCGGAAAAGTAGTTATATATAAATAGACGTCATTATTATAACAGCCCTTCACATGTCCAGCGCCATATGCCTGCCCATAAACATAACAAAAAATATATTTTTTCTTTTTATTCATAATGTATATTATAATTGGTCTCGTTTTATATCGATTTGACAATCTTTAATATAAAAAGTACGCATAGCGTCATAAAAATGTACCTGTCTCCAAAAGTTAAACATTATATTAATCTTTAATAATTTATTTTTGCTCAGACGTGTTGATTAGAATACTAACGAAAAACAAATTAAGCGGTTCCAATCACATTTCAGGATTCAAGCTTGCGCAAATCGGCGTGGTAGATGTATGTTGTATGGTAGGTTTATGTTGTAGTCGTTTGAATATAGAGGAGATGATTGGGCTATAGACATATCAAGTTTTCCTCTACTGTCCTAGTATAGCCGCCAGCAAGCTGTCCGTTGAGGTAATAATGTATTTGACTATTGACAATTTTCCACTGACGTGTAATACGAAGGAATTTCATCGCCACATCTGTCCTTCATTTTTATTGACTTTCTCTCTTCTCAACTTATATGCTCTTACCATCTAAACGCTCAAGCAGACGTCGAATCTTTAAGTTGTGCCAGATTAAATGTGGACTTGACGAATCTTAATACAAGTCTCCCAAATTTGGTATTCACGTGAACTCCAATATGTTTCGTTTGATGTTATGTAATACCTAATTCTAACAGTGTTTCAAAACTAAATGTCTGTCCACTATTACACAGACTTTTGTTGGTGCACTCAATAAATATCAGCGGGTCTATTGTTGGTATGCTCAGGCCTTTGGACCGTTTTAGAAACTTCCTTTCGGTCAAGGTAAAGATAAATCTAGTGCAGTCTGTTATTTTAGCCTTTATTGATTATGCTGATGATATCTGACCTTAATGAGATCTTTCTCGACATGCTGAATCGTCTCGTCAAAAACTGTATCCGCTTTATTTTTATTTATTTATATCTAACACGTAAGCATACTTTACACAGTTTTTTCTAATATATAAATCTAAAGTCTTTATTCCTGAATTACCCTCATGATAATTTCGTTTATCGAAAATTCTTGCTAATTTCATCCCCCCCCCTCCATTCTGATTTTACATCTTCATCATTTTCTTTGTAAGTCACGCGTCTCTGGAATAATCTAACCTAATAAAAATTTAAAAGAAGTCGTCATTACAGTCTATCTTTCTTTCCTTATAACAGTTATCATCTCTGTGTGATTATGTGTATTTTTTATTATATTTACCTGTACTCTGTAACAACTTTCGCTATGTTATTACAGTCCTAAGATTGAATGGAAATTGAATATTGAATACTTTGAGCATTAAATCTCCTTTTTCACCGTCTTTTGTAAGATTCAATAAATATTTGATAAATGAACAAATGAAATGGAGACTAAATGAATGGTAAAATAATTATTTCAACGTGTTCCACTTTTAAGCTACCTTTACTCACTAGAAATCATAACTTATCTTTAGTAAATTCATTTATCATCAGTTAGTTCAACAGAATGTTTCGAGAAAACGGACTACCTACAATTAATTAAGTCCCGTATAGATAAGCCACAAAACTTAACCTGCGTCAAAGCGAAGGAGATTTGGTTAATTGCTAAAAGATTGACCTACCGTTTGACTTAGAATCGCAAAATAAGGAGCTAGTACGAGATATATAACTTCAACTTACTTATATAACTTCAATTTCACGTAAAGACAATTTCATACTGAATTATAAATTTAGCAAAAGCTAATAATATTCTTGAAAATCCATTTCCCCACAGAAAAGTTTACCACGAATCTAAGTCAGTAAGAACCGTGAATTGGAACGCTATTTAAAATAAAGCCCCTTGATTTATTGCTTGTGACCAAGCTGTTTGTAGTTTTTTTATGTGAGTACTTATTAAAAAATTCTGATAGAAAAATAATAATTTGGTCACGCTAGCTCTGGCAAACTCCTGATAACGGTTAATTGTAGATAAAAAAAATTAAGATAATTTTTTAAATTGTGAGGATTATAATTACCTCGGGTCCTAAATACCCCTACTTAATAAATTAATGTCAGAATGTTTTTTCATGATTTATCGGAAACCAGGCCCTTGCCTTAAATTAAAAAAGTACGTGAGTAGCACAAGTTTGATTCTCTTAATTATAATTTGACATACTAATTTATTGGGTGCGGGATGGTTTTTTTTATAGAAGTAGCTGACCCGACGAACTTCGTACCGCCTAATTGTCGATTCTTTAATTTTTTTAATACTTATTCTGCTATTTGGGACACCGGGTCAGCTAGTAAGATAAAAAAAGAATAAAGTTGATAAGTCAACAATTACATTATGTCAAAAAATAAAAATTATAAAACACTTAAATTCTTTTAATAATCACTAAAACATCACAATGAAAATTACAATTTCTGATTTCTTATTACGATACCTACTCATTATATATCATTTTATTTTTACTTATTCTAAATTAAGTTTCATTTTTATTGTAGTACTTTATGGTACACGATATTTTTTCTTTAATTACCTGGCGCGTAAACAATCAGAGCAGATGGTTTTCAAACACGGGAACAGACAACATACAATTGACCATGCGAGAAACATGGGTTTTCTAGATTAATACCACACACATTTAATGACTGCCCCTGGGATGTATTTATAGTCATAGCGAAAGCAAGCCGTACTGGAAACTGTAGTCGTTTAAACTCAAATGGTACGTCAGTCGGAATCATTGGGATGTGGGGGTATCAAAACGTCTTCTCCTTTATACTTTCCTTTCAATATTATTGCTTCTATTACGTTATTCAGTAATTTTTTATCGCTAATCGTGTGCCGTTACAAAGTTACGGTTGGTTAATATTTCGCAACATTATAATTACAGATCCAACCTTTAATTGAATAGAAAATTTGTTTTTGAGTAATGTTACCATCGTAGAAATATTTACAAATATTGAAATTAATATTTATACGATACTAACGTCACTCAATTGTTTTGCCTTCCCGGAACCTCTCCATTAACACTTAAACTTCATGGTATGGTATTAAAGTTCAAATTGACTTTTAAGTATCTTTTGTGTGGGAATATAGAAAAGTGATGTTTTTAGACTTTTTCAGGCAATTTTTAATTTTTTTCTTTCCGTAAGAACCATCTTCGTACTTCAAGGAATATTATAAAAAAATAATTGGCGAAATCAGTTCAGCTGCTCTCGAGATTTGCGCTTAGCAACACATTTAGCAATTCATTTTTATATTATAGATAAAGGTCACAAGTGAGCACACAGCCCACCTGATGGTAAGTAGACACTGTGGCCCATAGACATCTACATCTATTCTTTTAGATTAATAATGAAAACGCAGATGCGTTGTCACCCCTGAGGACTCGGATGACTGCTTCGTATCCAATAAAGTAGATCTCCGGTTCTCTACACTCACCATACGAAATACAGCAGCATTCAGCTGCTATTTACGCTAGTATTCTGTGAGAGGGTGTTCCTACCCCAGTCGAGCCAACCCATTCGTGCTACAACCATAATATAGCTGTAAGGTGACTGTAGCACGTGATGCTGAAAAACTTTAATAAGACACTTGCATGTCGCTCTTCTGATCAATAGAATGCTGTCAAATTACATAGGAATTGTTAGAATTTTTATTGCAACTTTTACAATATATGCTATCTAACAAAATTTTTAAAAATGTCTACAGTAAAAAAGCCACAGTAACACGATGCTAATATAATAATACATTTTTCAATCTTAGTTTCAAACAACAATAGTTAACAGGAAATCTTTGTTACAGGTCATGAAGTATTCAATAAAACGCTGAAAAGTAGTCACCGAAATGGATCTTACAAACTACATTTGTCACATTTATGAAATAAGATGAATAATAAGCAATTAAATATGAATTCAGCAGAAGTTAAATTGTACGCACCCAACAATGAATGAATTAGAATCCTTACAGCGAGTCACATTGTCAGCTTTAATAGAATTTAATAGCACGGATGAAGTTAACTGGACATCATCAAATAATTCCTCCGAAAATAATAATAATATAACCGAATGGAACAACGCAACAGACAATAATGTGACGATAATCATTGAGAAGGAAGCAGTTAACAATTGGTGGGCCCTGTTTGCGTTAGCATTAGTACTCTGTACGGTAGCAGGAAACGTATTGGTATGCTTGGCTATTTACCTGGAAAGGAGGCTTCAGAATGTAACTAACTACTTTCTTATGTCACTGGCTATAACTGATTTACTGGTAGCGGTGCTTGTTATGCCTCTTGGTATTTTAACACTTGTAAAAGGTAAGTCCTTTCCTGCTTTATGTTACTAACAATATTAATTAAAACTATATAGTCTGAGAGCTGGTGACGAATTTTGGGAAGGTCCTTTGGGCAAGTTGAAATTGTGAAAAAATATAATTTCGTCAATTGGCGAATCCAGTCCCGCGAGTCTGGCAGAGCGTTTGCGGTTAATTCGTTACTGCGCAGCATATACCTAACATTTGCAAAAAAAATGATTTTGTGGCAACTTGATTTATTTTTATCTTTTCATTTAGTTTTTATATAATTCCAAAAAAATAATCTCAGACATTTTTGTCGGTTATAAAGTATTACCAGACCTCTCCAAAAATATTTTTTTTAAAGTCCCAAAAACATACTTTTGGCAATCTCAAATTTTAATCACATATTTATCGAGTAATTTTTAATAATACCTGCAAATCGCCAGACGAATTTAGCGGTTTTAAACAATTCCCAGACGTGAATAAAGTTTAAAAATGAATACGACAAAAAAGTCTTATGCGTAGCCTTAAGTGCGAGAAAGATAGCTTATTGAAGCATGCCGACAACGGATGGGGGCCTAAGCTCCTCGCGCTGTAATTGGTTATTAAGAAATATCTTTTTTAAAGATTTTAGGATAAAATTTTTGTTTTGGAATTTAGCATGTATGTATGCGCATATATGACCATGTAAATGTCTGTGTATATATAGTTTGAATTATTTTAGATCAGTGCTATAATAATTTGTATAATAGCTATTATTTTAACCTCGTATTAATAGTAAACTTGGCAATATATGTCTTGATAATTACCACCCCATTATCTTAAAAAGGACAATATGTATAAAGTGCTTACCGCCCAGAGATGAAGGTGGAAAAAATAACTAAAATAATTTTTACAGTATTTGATGATAAGAGTAATGTGATTTTGTTTAGTCTTTTCTTTGTAACTGATAATAAAACTATGTGTCTAATATTTAACTTATTTCATGGCTATGGGCCTAGTGTGATATGCGCATACATACATGCTGAATTCCAAAACAAGAATTTAATCTTAAAATCTTTAAAAAAGATATTTCTTAATAACCAATCACAGCGCGAGGAGCTTAGGCCCCCATCCGCTATCGGTATGCTTCGATAAGCTATCTTTCTCGCACTTATGGCTACGCAAAAGACTTTTTTGTCGTATTCATTTGTAAACTTTATTCACGTCTGGGAATTGTTTAAAACCACTAAATTCGTCTGGCGATTTGCAGGTATTATTAAAAATTACTCAATAAATATGTTATTAAAATTTGAGATTGCCAAAAATATGTTTTTTGGGAATTAAAAAAAATTGTTTTGGAGAGGTCTGGTAATACTTTATAACCGACAAAAGCGTCTGGGATTATTTTTTTGGAATTATATAAAAACTAAATTAAAAGATAAAAAAGAAATCAAGTTGCCACAAAAATATTTTTTTGGATTTTTTTTTGCAAATGTTATATGCTGCGCAGTAACGAAATAACCGCAAACGCTCTGCTAGACTCGCGGGACTGGATTCGCCAATTGACGAAATTATATTTTTTCACAATTTCAACTTGCCCAAAGGACATTCCCGAAATTCGTCGCCAGCTCTCAGACTAATACGTACATTGTTTTTAAGGCTTTAACTAGCCTGAATGACCTTGACGAAACGGCGATCGCAGAGATTTTAGCCGATGTCAACACCGTCTAGCAACTACGTTCTGTATTACTTATAAAAGTGCAAAGATTAATAGACTGCAGAGATGACAATTATATAAGTGACATACTGCCCGTTATGCTTGCGCATCACTGAGAATTATGTCGCGGTTACGCATCTTCAATTACATTGCACGGTGTGGTGCTGTAGCTTTGTCCGGTAGGCATCACGAGCTATCAAGTGTTCAAGTTTCAAGTACGTAAGAATTTTTATTATATATGTTAAATCGTATTTATTTGTATCGTATTAGTAGATCTGGGTCAAAGCGTTCGCTGTAAATATTTTCCCGGGTTTGATCCCCGACAGCACGAATGAAATTTGTAATTGCAATTTTCGTCAACACGCATTGGGGAAGCACGGCGGGCATTTCCTTGCCCTAAAACCCTCTCAGAAATAAAAAAAGAGTCCTGTGTCCAGTAGAGGGACTTGTATAGCCTATTACTTTACTTTGTAGCAATATTTATATTCGTTTCAGATATAGAAGGGTGCCTTATGCTGACAAAAATATCATGTGGAGGCGACGAAAACGTAAAACATCTTTGTACCTAGATAAAACGTTCGAAAGATTGTCAGTCATGTCATATGCCACATTTTCTATAGAGCGTAGAACATTGCAGATAGGGCAAAATAAAAAATAATCCAATATATTATGGGAACTATTTATTAATAATATATACATTTATTGTATATATTATTAATAAATAGTTCCCATAATATTGTATTTATAATAAAAATAATGAACAAGCTGCAAGGTTCAACTAATAATGTTTTTTGTAAACACAATCGTAAAATTCCTGTTTTAATTTTTACCAATGGTTAATTGATGAAACGTAGTCCAGATCACTTCATATAAAATATATTTAATTAAAATTGACACGTGACCTATTTGGCCTTCTACTTACAACTCGGCGGAAATTTGAAAAGAAATTTTGTCTTTTCACACAAGTATTGTTTACAACTGGCGTGGTTTCGAAAAGCGTGATTAAGTGTCAGCGGTATATAATCAATTTAACACTGAACTTTATTGAAATTTATTTTTTTGTTTATTTTTGTTATATCTTCTTAAAAACTGACGCCATCTCACTATTTTATTATTTGTTTATTTTTGTACGCATAAGGATAAGTTAGGCTAAGTTAGATTAACTTGGACAAGTTTATATTTTTTTAAATTTTATCACTAAATTTCCGTAATAAATTATTACCTTTTCTACAGTGATTCTCTCCTCTTAGTTTCGGCGTGACTGTAGGATGTTATAGTGAGTCACAGTCAGTTACTAAGCGGCCATAAATCATTATATGTATGTATAGACATACATATATTCATTTTTTGATTTTAATATTTATGTTTTTTGAATTGTGATTGATTTTTTGAGACCTGGTAAAATTATTTTTTTCCATACCAATTGATGGGCCTGAGTATAATGCCAGTTATGCTCTTTGGCTGAAGTTATTTTTTATTTTATGCTCAATTGCAGACAAAACAATATTGATTGAGCATTTCTAAAACAAAATTTTACCTCTTCTCCTTCTAATAATAGCTCCTGCACCTAACACGGCGGAATAGTTATTATTATCTATAAGACCATTTGCGAAAACAGTTTTTGTTAACAGTTATGAGTGTAACATTTTATCAGCTGCTTTGTTTATAGTGCCTTGAGCAACACTTTGCCGGTTTCTGTACAGAAAATGATGCTGGCTTTGCCAATACGTATGGCCGCTACCATTGAATATAATATCCGCTATGTTACGCTTATTTACATAGAAACTTTAATTACCATTTGCATAAAATTCTAAATAGCACTTTTTACACAAGAAAGTAAACTTTTAGATCAGTCCATTTTGTTTTTCACTAATTAAGTAAAAAGTAAAACAAACCAATAGGGCCGGGAATTAAAATTTCTTGCAATTTTTTATAGAAAAGCCTGACCTTACCATAATATAAAATTCAATCATTTAGCCATGTGATAAAACTTTTAAGTGTGCCAGTCAAACATTAATGATGATATTCGGGTCATTATACTGGAAATAGTCTTTTAAATATTTTGTAGTACAATTGATAATCTTCAGTATGATTGACCGTGTATATGACTTTTATAAGTCTATGTTATTTTTGATGAAAATTATTATTGCAGATAAAAGCCCTTTCACATTTATTTTAGTCTCTCTCGAATTAAATTAATCAAAATGAAAATAATAACATTGGCTCTTTATAACTGATCTTTAAATGTAAAACACTGACTTGAAATTATATAATTATTAGCATTTTTTTAAATTCATTGAACTTTTTTAAGATTTTGTTGAAATTCTACTGGTAAAAAAACAAATATATATATATATATATTATAGTTCTTGATGAAAATAATGTATGCGCGTTACATCGCATCCCATCAAGAATTTCTAATGTAATTCTTGATGTAAAGCTAAGACGTGATAATAACTGTAAACAATAGAATAACAAAATAATGAAAACATTTACATTTACATACAAAACATTTACAAAAATACTTGCTTTATAACTTATAAATATTATTCGACCGTAATAAAATAAAACAAGGTAGTCTTGGGAATGAAAGTAAAAATAAATATTTTTGATTATTTTTGCAATATCTAACAGCCGGATCAGCGGGCGATTCTGATCCATCTAAAGATGCTAAATTTCAGCAAGCACTGTCAAATTCAATAGGAGTGACAGAAAAACGGTTCTTGAAATAGAAAGGTAAATAAATTATTTAACCTATGAAGTAAAATCACTTTATTACAAATCAAAATAGCCCAATAGCTTTATTAACATGAGACATAATTGTACGAGTGCTTAACATTATTTTACTGAAATCTCAGAAAGTGTTTTTTAAATAGAATAAGGGTGACAAACGAGCACACAGTCCACCTGATGGTAAGTGGTTGCTACGGCCCATACACATCTACATCTATTCTCGATTACGTATCAAAATGTAAATGCGTTGTCACCCGTGAGGACTAAGATGTAATGCCTCGTTTCCAGTATAAAAAGGTTTTCCGGTTCTCTACACTCACCATACGAAACACAGCAGGGTTAAACTGCTATTTTACATGTTATTCCGTGAGAGCGTGGCCCTTCCCCGGTCGAACCGACCCATTCGTGCTACAACTATACCTAATAAATATAGCTGTAGCATGGCTCTACCACGTAAAAAAAATTGACGTTGAAAATTGAAGTATTTTTAGAAGCAACTTTGCAATTATTTTCTATTGAGTTAATTTTTGTGGAATCGTGTTTTGCAAACCGCCACCTAAAATACGTACAATTTTTTTTCGATAATGACG